ATATTACAATTCAATTAATAAAGAGGACAAAGAAATTTGTATATTAAATTTGGTGATAAGATGATAGAATATTCAAGTGATTTTAGATTTTATATTACAACAAAACTATCAAATCCTCATTATTAACCTTAAGTTTGTGTTGTAGTTACAATGCTTAATTTTTAAGTTACTTAAGAAGGTTTAATTGATTAGATGTTAAATATTGTTGTTAAAATTGATGAACCATTGAAAGATGAATAGAGAAATAAAAACATATCATAATATGTTTTAAATAAAAATAAATAAATACAAACAGAAAATCTAATTTTAAAATTATTATCTGAAGCCTCAGGAGATCTTTTAGAAAATGAAGTTCTAATTAAGACTTTATAATAATCAAAAGATGATGCTTAAGAAATAGAATAAAGATTATAAAAGTTGGAACATGATCAACAAATTTTTAATTAAATAAAATCGTTTTATAATTAAGTAGGAGAATTAGTTTCTAATATATACTTTATCGTAAATGATTTGTCAATAATAGAGCCTACATATTTATGGTCATTAGAATTCTACATTTAATAATATTAGAGATCAATAAAAGAGGCTTAATATGGGAAATAAAAAAGAGTATAAAATATAATTGAGAGATTTCTATAACATATTTACATAACAATAAATCGATCATTATTAGATAAAGATAAGTTTATATTTAGATTTTTATTTTGTTTAAAAGTGTTAAATATTCCAACAGAATAAATTAGAACATGTGTTATAGGACCTTCTATAACTTAAACTGATTTAAAGATGCCTTCTAATTATGAATGGCTTACTCCAAAAATGTGGTTAGGTTTGGTAGATTTAATGGAGAAATATCCTAAAGATTTTGGATGGTTATGTAAAGACATTTAAGATAATCATCAATTTTGGGATGGTTATTTTTATAGTTAATAATCATATAAAATATAAATACCATAAATTGTTAATTAATTTAGTTCTTTAATGTTAATAAAAATAATAAAACCTGAATAATTTATAAATAGTTTTAATGAATTAGTAAGAACTTTAATGGGTAAATAATTTTTGGAGAATATACCATTTACTTTTGAATAATTCTATTAGGAATCAACTCCAACAACACCATTATTATGTTTAATCTAACCAGGAAGTGATGCAAGATAAGAAATAATATCATTAGCAGATAAATTAGGATATTAAGATCACATATATACAGTTTCTTTAGGATAAGGTTAAATATAATTGGCATTAAAATTAATAAAGAATGGTTTACATTAAGGGAAGTGGGTTTTATTATAAAATTGTCATGTTGCTTAATCATTTATGCCAGAATTAGAATAATTGTTTGAAAATCAATTTAAAAGTTAGAATATAAATAAAGAATTTAGATTATGGTTAACTAGTTAACCAACTAATTTATTTCCACATAATGTTTTATTAAAAAGTATAAAATTATTAAATATTTTTAAGCTTTGAAATTGACATATGAATTACCAAGAGGTTTGAAGAATAATATGTTAAGATCATATTTTTAATAAGATTAAGATAAATTTGAATAATGTAAAAAATTAGAAGAATGGAAGAACTTGTTTTTTTCTTTAACTTTATTTCATGCATGTATTTTGGAAAGAAGAAAATATGGTCCATTAGGTTGGAATGTGAGTTATAATTTCTCATAACATGATTTAGAGATATCAAAAGAATAAATCTTATACATTTTAAATCATTAACATGAAATATAATGGGACGCTTTATAATATTTAGTAGCAGAATCAAATTATGGAGGAAGAGTAACAGATCCTTAAGATAGAAAATTGTTAAGTATTTTAGTAAATGAATTCTTAAATGAAAATACAGCTAAAGAAGATTATATATTTAGTGATTATGTAAAAATACCATAATAAAGTAATGTTTCTGGATATATTAATTATATTCAAACTTTACCAATTGATGATCCTCCATAACTTTTTGGTTTACATTCAAATGCAGAAATATATTCTTCAATTTTATAAGTAGATTAAATTAGTTAAGAAATCTTGTAAGTATTGCCAAGAGCTGTTGGTGCTTAATAAAATACTGATTTTATTGTCAAATAAAAATGTAAAGAAATTATTGATTTAATGCCTGAATAATTTAATCTTCAAGAATTAGAATAGAAGTATCCTATATTATCATAAAACTCTTTGAATACTGTTTTATAATAAGATGTTGGTAGATATAATAAACTTTTGCGTACAATAAATTCATCTTTATCTAATCTTATTAAATAGATAGATGGATATATTAATATGTCTGATGATTCGCAAGATATTTTTGGAAATATTATGGATAATTAAGTGCCTAATGAATGGTTAAAAGCTTCATATTAAACTACAAAACCATTAGCAACTTATATTAAAGATTTATTAGATAGATTGTCTTTTATTCGAAAATGGATTACTGAAGGGGAACCAGTTACATATTGGCTTGGGGGTTTATTCTTTATACAAAGCTTTTTAACTGGAATTTTATAAAATTATGCTCGAAAACATAAAATACCTATAGATGAAGTTAAATTTGACTATGAATTTCATTCAAGTAAACCAATATCTAAACCAGAAGATGGATTTTATGTTGAAGGTATTTATATTGATGGTGCTAAATTTGATTTTAAAACTAATTCTATTGAAGAACCTGAAAATCTTATTCTTTACTACGATGCTCCTATTATACATTTTAAGCCTACTTTAGAATAATAAATTTTATAATATTATGCATGTCCATTATATAATACTGTTTAAAGAAGAGGAAATCTTACTAGTACTGGAGGATCTGCTAATTTCATATGTAATATCAAAGTACCAATAAGATAATCTGATAGTCATTGGACAAAAAGAGGAGTAGCAATGATATTGTAATTAAATTGATTATTTTTTATATCCAAATTATATGCTTTAAATATTTTTTTTGTTTTCTTATGTATGTTTCAAACTAATTACTTTAAATTTCAATTACATGAATATAATAAATCCTATAGGATAATTATGGAAAATTAATACTGATCCTTTATATAATCTATAAGTCTGCCATAGTCCATATATTAAAGAAAAATAGAAATTATTTAATTTTCTCTTCTCTTCTCAAAATTGAAAATAATCTCTAAATTCTCTTCAAAATTATTATGAATAATTATTTATTTTACAATAAAATTTGTATAAAAAAATCTATTCGGAATATAGGAGACAATTTTAGTATTTGGAATTTTGTTTATATTGCCTTCAAAGATTAATTTTAAAAGAATTCAATAATTATTAAAAGTGCCCTCAACAGGGTATTAATAATTTTTTATAAATGTATAAATTTTACTGTTTAAGTTATTCATGTATATTTTATATAGAAAAAGTTTAGAATATGGCTAAATTATAAACAAAAAATTTATTTCAATATTATTTTTAAAATAAAAATCATAATGAAATTATAGATGGTTTAAAATAAGTATTTAAAGACATCTCAGATGGATCTTTCTTTATGGATGAATATATATTTAAATAATCTCAAAAATTTTAAATGGAATTAATAAATTTTGTTACTTTGATATTATTTGAAGAATTTTAAATTTTATTCTGAGTGGCAAATGTGTGTTTTTGCAATAAAGTTCAACTATTTAGAAGCCCAAAAAAAGAGGATTAATATATGATATGAAATATTCTAGTCTTTATATATAATTAATAATAAATAGCAAATAAGAATTTTAATAAAGATGATTTTAAATATATAATGAAAGAATTTAAATTTAAAAAAATATTACATTTTTTATTTTTAAGTCATTTAATTATTTATTAATACATCATATGATTAATAGATAAGGTAAATTAAATTATGAATGAAAATGATGTTTACAATTATTAATTAGTTTTTATAAGGAATAGATTGGATAAATATATAATATTATAAATATTTGTTTAAATATTTTCAGAAAGAAATATTTATAATTAATATGAATAGACTATTAAATAAAGAGAAGTCAAAAAGCAATGAAGGTAGAAAAGAATAGGGTGGATTATTGTAAAATTGTATAAATATAATATATGAGTTTAGATATAGCAAAGAAGGACTTAGAGCAAGTTAGTGGAATATTATAACCATAATTAAGAACTTTAAATTTTGATGAATTAACTAATGTATTTAAATTATGTTTAAAGCATAGGGAACACTAGATGATCACATGAGTTGCTAAACATTTTTGCATTGCCTTCCTAATTAAGATAATTTGGATTCTTTGAGTGATGATCATATGTGTCCATATAAAAGAAAATATATAATAGATCAATTAAAGAATGTCATTAATTAAGGCCAAGGTACATCTCTTAATATTAAATAGGAATTAATTTATCATTGTTAAGAGCATTATAAAAACGAACTGATTCTTGTGAGAAGAAAAGTGATATAAATGCTTTGACTGATGATGATAATATCTCGAATAGAGGATTAGAATAAATTAAAACTGTTATGGATAAGTATTAAGAAAGACAATAAAAAATTCAAAGATATAAAAATAAAAGAAGAAATTGGGAAAGAAAAATATCATATTCAGGAAGATCTTAAATTGCTGAATAACGATTAAGAATCAAAGGAAGATTCATAAGTAAAGAGGATCAATAGTCAATTAAAAAATTGATAAATAATAAGTAATAGGAAGATTTTTATGATAAAAAACATAACCTAAATATTGAAAAATTTCATTAACATACTAAATTATTTACATATGCAGAGGATCCTAAAATGATTCCTAAAAAATAAATATTAATGGACATCAGGGGTGAGTTTTAATTTCAATAACAATAATTAAAGATACTAAAATCAATCAAGAATAAAACTAAAATTTTTTAGATTGTTTAGAAACAAAAATCTTGAAAAAATTATATTATATAAAATATTATAAGAAGATATTAATAATTATAATAATAATAATATTGATTAAATTTATATTAGAAATTAAAATAAAAAAATGAATAATAAAAATATCAAAATGGAAGTTACTACTTATTTCTTGAATCAGGTTTAGACTTAGCATTAGTAAATGTTTATTTAAGAAGATTTTCAAAATTTGTTTATAACTAAAGATTTGTTAAACCTTACTTTGGATTTTTTTTAAGAGTTTTTTTAATTAATTTATCTAATATTGCTTTATTTAGAGTGGGATTATTCTGATTATTATTATTGTTTTGATCTTTGGTAAAATAAAATTAAGTAGAGAACATGGGTTGAAATGGAATATTTAATTTTTATTCTTTTTGTAATTGTTCAAAGAAATGTTTGTCATTTTAAGTCATTTATTTGATATTAATTTTTAGTAAATCAGGAATGTATGGAGGTTTAACTTATTTGTTAATATAAGAAATTAGATCTATATCTCTAAACCATTTATGTGAAAAGATTTCATCGATTCCAAAGCGTGAACCTAATCTTTTATGAGGATCTTTAATCATCAATTATCTTATTAAATCTTTAATATCTGTACTTAAATAATCTGGAAATTCAACTTATTCTTTTAGTAATCTGGCATATATGATATTTTTGTCTTCAGAATAGAAAGGAGGTAATCCAGTAACAAATTCATATAATAAGCATCCTAAACAATAATAATCAACTAATTAAGTATGACCTGTTGTTTAAAACATTTCAGGTGCCATATATTCAGGTGAACCACAAAAAGAATAAGCACATGTATCTTTATTCATGTTAGGTCTAGCTAAACCAAAATCAGCTAATTGGATATGTCCATTAGAATCAATTAAGATATTTTCAGGTTTAATGTCTCTATAAATAATTTATTCATTATGTAGGAATCCTATAGCTAAGATTACTTCAATAATATAAAATTTTGCTTATTATTCTGATAGTCTTTATAACTTTTTAATAAAATTAAACATTTCTCCTCCTGGACAATAATCTATTCCAAAAACTATCCAATTCTTAGTTTCAAAAGCACATTCAATTTGATTAGTAAAAATGGAACCACTATAAGTACTTTGAATAAGTATATCTCTTTCATTTAATATTAAATCTTATTTTTAATGCTATTAAATGAATTATTTATTTATTAATTTAAGGGCAACAAATTTACAATCAATAAGAGATCTAGCTAAAATAACAGTTGAAAATCCACCTTTACCAATAATAGAAATGAATTAAAAACTACTTAAATTAATTCTTTTAATATTTTGATTGTATATAGGTTTCAATCTAATTGTTTTATTGATAAATGAATCCATAGGTAAATTAGTTTGTTATAAATAGTAATCAATAGCATAATTTTCATCCACAGTTGAAAACCCAATAATTGAATTATTATTGTATTATTTTTACTTCAATAGATTAATGATTTTATCTGTGGTAACATTAGGAGTAAATCTATAATTTTGTACTTCTTCTTATGAGAAATGAACATAGATGGAAATCTCTTATTTCTATATTTTATCTTAGGATTACGATTTAGTGATTCCAGTATACATAGTGCTACCAACTAGTTCTTCCATGCTATTTCTTCTTGTCATAGAGCCTTAAATAGGTTTAAGTTATTGATAATTTTATTACTAAGGATTAGTGTTTTTCTGTGTCAGAAGTAAATTAACACCTTTAGTAATATGGAAAAAGTTTTCAGTTGGAATACGTAATTATTTGCTAATTGGTCTTATTTTATCTTTAGAAACAGATTTTTATGATTTCTATATACTATTAACTCTTTCAGTCAAGCTACCATTATTTGTTTTGGTAATGTAATTGGATCTAACAACGAAATCTTCAATGACACCCTGAGATATTTTTCTATTGGGAAATCGTTAAGGAGAGATCAAGGTGTTCTTAGATACAGGAGTTTTTTATTAAACAGTCACTCTGGATGGAGAAATAAGTATATGATGTTACATAATAATATTAATAATCTAATATAAAATGATAAAAAGAAATGTGATGATACTTAGAATACTAGAAATAGTATCTATACGAAAAATTAGTGCTGATAATTTAGAATAATAATAAATATTTATATTTGTAAAGTTAGAGCAAAAAATTATATTAATTTATTGCATAACATTAATGATTAATATCAAATACAAAAATACTAAATAATAAATAACATTGGAATAAAAATTGATAATTATTTAACTCATAGGCATACATTCATAAACTAATTATACTGTTTACATTAGTTTTGATTTTCACTGTTTACTTGCAAACTCAATTCTATAAAGAATGTTTTTTATAATGTAAGAACTTATAAATAACAATTCTTTTAAACCAAGGGTATAATTTTGTTTATAAATAAAATTAAAAAATTAGTTAGTTTACAGAAAATATCTATATAAAAAAGGAATAGAAATTATATACTGCAAGAATGTGTTTAGTTTAATTTATCAAAAGAGATAATTATTTATATAAAAAATTATATTATATATTATAATTTAATAAACAATAGCTAATTTGACACCATAAGTCAAAATAAAGTTTAGAAGAACAAGGTTTTAAACATTTTAAATATAGACCTTTACCAAATCTTCATTCACTTTAATTTATTTAAAGATTTAGATAGATTGTTTGACTAATGCTGGTTTGGAATTATGTTATTTGATTGGTAGGCATTATAATAATTAATAACAATCCATTAGAATTTTATAGTCTTTTCTGTTATATTTATCCCTCTTTATGGTGTAGCTATAATACTAAACTTGATGGATTAAGATAAAATAAGTTTTATAGATTTCCATTTCAATTTTAGAAAAAACTTTGGATGATAGACTTGAATTACATTCATTAATTAGAAGAACATGGAAATGAACCAAATAGAGTAATAAAGAATATTTGAATCATTTGAGAGATGAAATTGTTATCTTTTAGAAACAGAATTGAGAAAATGAAATAATTGCATATAATAAATAATAAAATTATATATTATGAATGATTAACTACTTGTAATGACTGCACAAGAATTTTCATAGATTTATAAAGTAAGTCCAGCAATTCATTATCACAAAGGAAGTTGAATTCAAATTAGAAAAATTACACAATAAGAATAATGCCATCTAATAAAATCTTGATGTTGATATCATCAATAGAGAATTATATTAAATGATCAAATAAGAAATAGATTAACTCTAATTCTTTATTGAAGAAATAAAAGATTAGATGAAATCACTTGAGAACAATATTAATAGCATTGATTCTAAAAATAAGTGATGTAATCTATATTCATTTTAGGATCAAAAGATTGAAAGATAATTATCTTAAAGAAACTTAACGAACCAAAGCTATTACACGTATCCTCAATAATAAATCTTCATTTTAAAGTGATAAATAATCTGAAGAAGTGAGTATTTTAAGTTAATCTGATACTGAAAGATAACCTGTCTCTATTCATTAACTTTAAGATCAATTAACTAATTTCTAAAATATTAAAGAAACTAATTAATATTAAAACGGCACTGTTTAAAATCAGGATTCGCCATCTAATTCCATGTTTTAAGATAATTAACAACAAAATGATCCATCTTAAGGTTTGCTTATTAATAACGATTATGAAAAATAAGAAAAAGGTGAACCATAATAAAAAGTTGAAGTTTAGGAAGAAGTTGAAGTATAAGAAGAAATCAATAATTAAGTTTACTTAATTGTTCTAGTCATTGTGATCATAATTGCAGGTTTGATTATTTGGTTGCTTTATGAAGAAGATATTCTGTGAATTTTTATCTATTATTTTATTGTTATAATTATTATATGGAAGATTAGATAGATAACGAATTCTTAGATGAAAATTAACATCAAGCTCTATAAGAGTGTGAACTTTGTCAAAGGAAATTTCATCCTGAAAGAATTGAAAGACATATTATAGCTTGTCAAAAAGCACAATTGAAATAATAAGAAAGAGATAAAATAATATAAAAAAAGAAAAAACTTATTGAACAAAAAAAATAACAACTACAATAAACAGATGTTGAAATTGTTAAAACTAATTGGAGGGAGGAACATTAAAAATTTTAAGAGTAAATCTAATATAACCGAAAATTAAAATAAGTAACAACAAAATTATATTAAAGTTAGAAAATCAAGGATAAGATATAAATTAGTTAAAACAACCTGAAACTAAAGTTAATTCCAATTATGTTTTTTGTGAATATTGTGAAAGGCATTTTGCTAAAAGTAATTATTAAATCTCTATCTAAGATGTTGCTGAAAGACATATACCAAAATGTAAAGAAATTATAGCTAAGCCTAAACCTCCTAGAAAGAAAACAGTTGAAATGATTTAACCTTCATAACCCTTGCTTTAAGAAAAAAGATAAGCATAAGTTAGTACACCTTCTACTTCAAGCCAGATGGAGAGAAAGCCCATTATTAAAAAATAATTATCAGATTCATCTTAACAATTTAGGCCTACCAGTTTATAAAGATTTATAGCAGAGTAGTCTGGCAAAGCAAATTTAACAAATATAGGTATTTTATTAAAAGTACAATTAGGTTTTATTGACTGTAAAGCACGAGCTACTGCTATATAAGATACAGAATGTCCACATTGCAATAGAAGGTTTATTTCTAGAGCTGCAGAAAGACACATTCCTATTTGTGAAAAATTAACTAGAAAAAGCTCTTTTCGTATCAATATTTAATCAATAACAATTAGAAATCAAATATTAAAATAGAAAGAGTGTTCCTATAAAACAAAATAATTTAATGATGATAGCACCTACAGCAATTTTACCTTAAATTTAAAGAAAGGTGAACAAGTAGTTAGATGCAGGGACTTTGCCTCCTATAGGAAATAGTTAAAAGTTTTGTACAGAATGTGGAAATAGATTTTAGGCAAATCATAAATATTGTGGTGGATGTGGACATAAAAGAGTACCTGAAATAGTAATTTGATATTATATCCTTATTCATGACAACTTCAGATTTTATTTATATAAAACAATTTATTTTGTTTACATTATTTCTACGTATTTATTATTTATTGGTTTTATCTTTATAAAAGCAGTTATTGATTTTTTGAGAAAGTATTTTTATTTTTAATAAATTTTCAATTTGATTGAACCGTTTTGCTGAATATAATTCATATTTAATTTATTTGAACTATTATAAAAAGATATCTAATATTGATTAGTAATCTAAATTGATTAGTAATTTAAATTACTTAAATAGGTTATTTTAATTTTTTTATCATAAATCTAATTAGAATCATGATATAGAAATGATTGATTGCCGTATTAATGTTTAGATAGTCAAAAGAAAGAATTCACTATTAATCAGCAGTTTATTATATTTTTATAATAAATATTGATCATTTTCTATGTTTTTTAAGATGACTAATAAATTAATCCTCATTAGTTTTTAATTGGATTATTTAAGAAAGTAGAAAGATTATTTATGTTAAAAATGTAAATAAAATAAAAGTTGTTTTTAATTGAAATATAGATATGATATTATATTTAGTATTTTAGATAATTATGAAATTGAATATAAATGTAGATAGATTATTTGATTTAAAATTATTCAGATGATATATAATAATGTAATTTTCGATAATAATATAATATTAACTATGTAGATTAGATTTATCATAATTCATCATTATTAACAAAAGTCCAGCCTCCCAAATGTGCTTTTGATTCATCAACAATACTCTGCATATCAAATACATTTCCATCAATTTTAGTATTAATTCTAATTTTTCTATTTGGTTTAGGCATAGGTAATTCTCTATTATAAACAATTTCCCAATTAACATCTTAAAAGTATTAATGTGCTTTAATTTCCTCAGAATCTCCTTTACCTGAACCTAAACGTTTAGCAGGATTTCTTTATAATAACTAATAAAATATAAATATAGAGTAAATACTGCTTTTAATAGATTTTTGGCCTCACTAGAAATATATGAAGGTATTTTAAGTTAAGCATTTTCGATATTATAAAATAATTCTTCTCTATTATTAGCATAATAAGGAGGTAATCCAACAAGTAATTCATACATAACAACACCTAATAAATACCAATCAACAGCTTTTCCATGTCCACATCTTTTTAACATTTCAGGTGCTAAATAAGCTACAGATCCACAAAATGATCTTGCTCCAGTATTAGGTTCCAAGATTCCTTCTTTAGATAATCCAAAATCTGTTAATAATGCATGACCTTCACTATCTAAAACTATATTATCTGGTTTTAAATCTCTAAATATTATATCTCTTTTATGTAAATCTTCTAAAGCCAATACAATCTCACATAAATAATTTTTAACTATATTTTCAGGAAGTCTTTTCTATTTTTATAAAACTTCTCCAAGATCACCTCCTGGACAATAATCCAAAATCATAAATAATTTATCCTATGTCTAAAATGCAAATCTTAATTTAACGATAAATGGATGTGATGTTATTGACAATACATTTCTTTCAGTTAATGCATATCTAGTTAAATTATGTTCTAATTATTATTTAAATATATATTTTACTCATTATTCTACTTTTATGAAGCACTTTCATTGCATATAACTAATTACTCTTCTATACTAAATACACTTCTCCAAAACTCCCTTTACCTATTAATCCAATTACTTAAAATTATTAAGGTCCTATCTTTTCTTCTTCTTTATTCTTTATTGAATCAGAGTTTGTAGAAACTGTATTTGTTAACTATTACTTTGCTGAATGTGTTGAATTTATTTTGTTTAATCTCTCCTATTTAATCTCTTATTAAGTTCGATTATTTGGAGATGATGACTATTTATTTACAACATTTAAATTCTTGCATGAATAACTATTTAATTAAGTTGTAGTTTATCCTAAACTTGATTATTATGTTTATTATGCTTATTATTATTAAATTACTCCCTATTATTAAGAATTCAATTATCCTTTTTTAAATTAAAACATCTTTAATATCACATCATTTTATGTATTCTATATCTAAACCATATTCATTTTTTATTCTTAAAGATAATTTAAATATAAATTACATTATTTTTTAAGATCATCATTATGATTTTAAAAGAGACGTTGAATATCTTCATTTTATGCATATTATTCAGCTGTTTTATGTTCTTTATTAATTTTAAATTATATGGATTATCTTTTTAATAATAATTGAACAATAATTTTGTGATTTTATTTACAACCATAATGTAATGCAGTATTTCCATAACAATCTTAATGATTGATATCTGAACCTGCATTCATTAAAATCATCAATACTTCTTCTTATCCACTAATAGTTAATTATTTAATTATACTTAATAGCAGCTAAAATTAATGGAGTCATATGATCTTTATTTTATGCATCTATTGCTATTTACTTAAATATTAATGCTGATGTTAATTGTGCATTTCCATTTTTAGCTGCATAATGAAGTGCTGTATTATCTTACAAATCTTTAGCTGTTAAAGAAGCTCTCAATTCTGAATTGATCTTCTATCTTGGAGGTAATTTCACTAAATATAATTTATTTATTTATACAAATATTATGAACTAATGTAGGCTCTAATAATTGTAAACATCCTCCTGTATTGTTATTCTTACTCTCTTTTATAAACCATTAATTTAATTATTTTTTTATATCTTCTAATTCACCCATTCTTGGAGATGTTGCCTCTACTGTTTTTGTTATACCTTAACTAGATATTGGTATTTTTGGTTCATCTGCTTAACTTGTTTATCTTTTAGAACTTGACACTTTCCTGTTCTAAAAAAATGGCACCAATTTATGTTAAGAATGTGAACGATCAGTTGATGATTTTGTTTATTATTTTAATTGAGAAACTGTCTTTGGAGTCATTATTTTTGATGCATTCGTTTGTGATTTTGCCTAACTTAATCTCCTATTATTTGCATCTTATATTTGTTTTAATTTATCTAGATATTCTTAAAGACTTGGCTTGCTATTACTGTTAATATTCATTTATTATTTTTTCTAAATATAAATATAATATAATAATTCATTTATATATATCATCATATTTTATAATTATTCTCTAATTTCTCTACTTGTTTAACATTTCTTAATACTTTACTCCCTTTTTCTCCTCTTAATACTAATCAATTTATATATCATTACCTTATTTCCCTCTTTTATCTTAAATATTTTTTATTTTTATAATTACTATAATCATCCCTACTTTTTAGAGTATTATTATTATATCTTATTGTTTTATTTTAATTCTTCTAAAATATACAATAGTTTAAGTTTATTGAATCAAAATTATACTTTTTTGAAATATAAATATTAAAAAAATAAGTTTCAATATCCTTTACAATTAATTCACTTATTTAAAAAATAGAACTAATTAAAATACCACATATATTATATAATATTTATATATTTATTTTTTTATCTGAAGAATAGAATTACTTTTTATTCCTATTAAAAAGATAAATAACATATATAATCAAGCAAATAAATAAATTAATTAATACCTATAGAAAGTAAGTATAAAGAAGATATTTATTTATATTTAATTTATTATTTAAAAAAAAATTCAGAAATCATTTTCATTAATATTTCATCGTTTTTATTATAATTGTTATAATTTCATCATTCTCAATCTTTTAGATTGTTCAATTGAATCAAAATAGCATGATTGAGGATTTTATTATTAATATCTTTACTCTTGTTATTATATATGTTAAGTTCTTTCTTACATTTAATTAAAATCTTGATTGTATTGTTAACGCAAAGTTTCTTTATAAAAATATAAAATATACAATAAAACTAAGATTATTAAGTTTATTATTAATCTAAAATATTTTAAGCTGGTTTTAATGACCCATAAACAAATCTATCCTTATCATCTGCTGGATTATATAAAAATGGATGAGGATTACCTAATGAATAAAATATATTTGATACTTGAAATTGATTTCTAATATTCTATTTATTCTTAAGTCAAAGGAGGTTAAGATAAGGGATAATATTTAATGTTCTTGTTGTTTAAATGTTTAATTTCATATTGATTTAATGTTTATTACATGTCTAAATAACAAAAGAGTTATACTCCCAATAGTATCTTCAATGCCACCTAATTACTGAATATTTTATTTGAATAATTTAACTTATTCAGGAGGAGAGGGATCATTTATTGCTTATAGATATTGAATTTATCTTTTTTAAAATTCACCCACATCATTAGGATCTCTAAAATAAGTTGGCTATTTATTTATTTAACCTAGTTAATTTGAATTCACATTAAAGTCTAAATAATTATTAGGAACAGGAACAAATTAACTTCCCAACATATGATCCATTAATAAATGTTTTTGTTATATTGGTTTGTTATTCTCTTATTAAATCTTTGCATTCTCAAGTGTTTATGAATATTGAAGTAATTGTCTAAATTCACTTTACATAATTACCCTTAATCTGCAAATAAAGTTTAACGAGAAAAATGATCAAGTAAGGTATTTTATTGTGGAATATTCAATTACTATTACTAATAACTTGGTTATTATGGATAAGCCTAACCAAAATTTTAACAAACTCTAATAATCATATAAAGGTTATACTATCTATCATATTATTCCATAACTTAAGGAAATTAATCAGGATTCTTGATATTAGGATTTTAACAAAAGTTAGATGCTGTTTATTTAAAAACTAAATACAAATTTCTTATATTTACAATCCCTCTCCATTTAATTGGTTGTTATATTTAATAATAATTATTATATATTAATATAATAATAGATAAATAATATTATATTGAGAATTGTTATATTTAAATATTAATTTGACTTTTCATCATTGAAAAATTCTAGTTTAGGAGAAAATATTTCTGATAAGTAGTCTTTATTTTCTTCTTATTTTTCAAAAGACCAATCTTCCAATTTAAAATCAGAAACTTTTGGTTATATGTTTAATATTTCAAGTTTTGATTATGGTATTTCTGTAGCTTATTATGAAAAGATTTATTAAAGTTATTCTTATTTTTCTGATTTTTGATCGATTGATTAAACTTATTATTGCCTCTTTCTTCTTTGCTCTTCAAATTTTACTTTTTACAGTTAATTTAAAATTCCTTTATTGTATAATATTTCGTTAACCTAATATTTGATATCAAAATTTCTAATGAATTCATCCTACCATGCTTTACTTGCTTTAAAATTTGGAATATTGAATAATTCTATAGCCTTTTATTTTAGTTAAGATCTTCTAACTCTTCTTCTCAATTCTACACTCTCTTTTATAATCCATTATCTTAATTCCTCTTCTGCCTTAGTATTAAGTTTCTTTCTTCCACAACCTGGTTTTCTAGCAATACCATCTTAATACCATCTTCTAAGATTTTTAATAGAAGTGTTGTATTTCTCACTTAATATTTAATACATTTCTAAAGAAGAGTCTTTTTGTAAACTCTCCAAAATCTATTGTTTATCTTCTTAACCCAAAATATTGTATTTCTTTAAGGCTTTATTCTTCTTATTTTAACGTTTCGTATTAGAGTTGCTGCTATTGTTATAGTTCATTACAAGTGATAATATTATTAAGGAATTTTATTTAAAGGGGGAGGTTAAGGTAGTACAAATCCTTTTATTATTTGGATATTTATTATTATTATTATTTTAACAATAATTTTTAATTAAATCTCAATAACATGACAATTTAGATTTAGTAATAAAATTCCAATTTTTTATATTAATATATCAATAATAAATAAATTCTTAGCAGATTCTCTTTATATTATTAAATTTGTATTTTTAATATAGAATATGCTATAATTCAATTCTATTCATTTTTGTAATTACAAAATCAATATATAATTGTTATCAATATTTTTGTTATTTTGAGACTATGATTGTTTTATTTAAACTAAAAACATTAAACAAATTAAATTACACAATATATTTATAACTAATTTATAATGCTTGCATAAATATATAAAATTTAAATCATTATTTCTTAACTTATTTCAAAGCTCCTTTCTTACTTGGTTTTTTGAATGCCCAATCAACATGAATTTTTTTACCATAGATTCCATCTGATTTATTTAAACCATTCAAAGCATCTTAAGCATGAGCAAAATCGCTAAATTCAACTAATGCATAACTAATAATTAGATTAGCTTCTACCCTTTAACAAATCCAGTTCTTCTATCAAGATTCAAATGAAGATTCTTAATTGGACCAAATTTGCTGAATGCATCAAATAAATCATCTTCTTAAGCTTCTTCATGAATTCCTGTCGCAATAAGTATCCATCCTTCAATAGCTATATTATTTAATTATCATATTCTACATTTCATTGGTCCTGGACCATCATCACTTTCTAAAGATTAAAAATTTCCTGCTTCTCCTTTATATCTATCAGCATTTTCATTTACTTATTTTTTCGACATTAATTTAATAAAATATATTAAAAAAAAAAGTATTTAAATTATCATAAAACATATTTTATAATAAAAAAAATATTTTACAAAATCCTTTATAAATTAAAATTTGTACTTTTTAAAACTTAATTACTATATTATATGTAAATTTTAGATTGTATTAATTTTATATACTTTAATTCTATATAATGTATTTTATTTTCATT